TGACTGACAGCACAGTTAATGTAGTCACAGCCGGGTACAGCACGGGAAGGGGAGTTAGAGAGAGGGTCAGTGGCAAAAGCTCAGCAGCCAGTCTCTTCCCAGTTTGACTGCAGTATATACACCAGATGGGCCCTTGGAGGAAAAGAAGGATCCACACGGAGCCGCTCTGCAGTGAGCTCCTTTTGCAGGACAATAGTAGTGAAAATTGCCATGTTCTAATGATATGTCATGATAAAATGGAGAAAGATGAAGGATGATTTGAAAACGTTATGTTTTTCAGAGATTTGTGTTCAACTACCTCATCAAGTCAGTGTGTTTCTTGGCTGGTGTGGTGCGCCCCCCTTCAGTCACTGCAGAACTGCAGGGGATCCGTCAAGGTGGAGATAAAATAAAATAAAGGGGCAACCAATTTCATTTGATCACAGCCACTGTCAAAACACGTTTACAAGAATATGTCCATGAACATTTATAAATCCACTTTTAAAAATGTCATGGAAACATGTAATTTGTCCAACCATCAAATGTCTGAAGGCCACGTTTCCAGGTTTGTGACATTTCTAGTTTATCCACGACACAGAAACCCTAAAATTATTGTATCATTTAATCATCTTATATTTCAAAACATGAATGTCTGTTCTGGACCTGACAAATAAATATGCAGAATTTTGTACTGCATGAAACTTCTTCTGAGGAAACAAAAAAAGGCACATTCCTTACGGATACAAACCTGCTTCATGACATTTTACTTGTGCTATGACAAAAACAAAGAGAACAATGTTCAAGTGCTGACAGAATGAGAAGTACCTGGACTGTGAGTAAATTAACAAGACAGAGTCTGCTGTGTTGTTGAAAGAAAGATGGCTACCTGTCTTTTAGAAGGAGAATGAGAGATAAAGTGATACAGTGAAAAAAAGAAGGAGAAAGGAACCTTCAATGTCAGTCAACAGTCACTGGGTAGTCTCTACGTCTCCTTTCCTGGCGTGCAAGTGAATTTTTCCTTGAACTTTGAGCATCAAACACACTTTTTAGCCTCACAGAGACATAGGCGAGAAACTGTCAGAATCAAAGAGACAAAATGCTAAGTAGGTATTTTGTTTGGATCTGTGTGGTACCCAATTTTGTAAAAATGATTACACATAAAACTAGCCAACCAGCAAGCGCCGAAAGCCTCTCAACCTTGTTGTAGATTACAGTTCATGACCATTTTTATTCAGCAACATCTGCTACATTTGAGCTCATACTGTAAATTTTTCAGCACAAATTAATTTGTGTTTGTATGAGGGAACACAGATGACACTTTAACAAATTAACACAACAAGCATCTGTGCATTAAATCACAAACAGCTCAATCACACTCTTGACACTGCCACTTCAGCTGGCTGCATCCTCCCTCCCCTAATTGGAGCTCATAGGAATCCAGCCTCTCATCTCCTCCTCTTCCTCCTCTCACCTCACAAAGGTTGTGTGAAATTACCAGCAAGAACAGAGGCAGAACAAGAAGAGAAAACTAAGGGAGAGAGATGTAGGAGAGAGGCTGCCAATAAATGTCATGTCCCCCTCGTCTCTATTTGACGCAACAGCAGTGATTCAGCAAATTCGTTTATTAACAAAAGCTGCCACGCGAGCACTCGACAAACATCAATCCTCAGACGTTCTCACAGCTGCTGACTTGGGTGACTGAAGCTTCATCTTAGGGCCACTGGGGTCATATCTGAATGAGAGGACTTGAAGTGGGATTCAGTCGAAGAGAGGAGGGGTGGCATCAAAAAACAAATTAACTATTAGGATATTTTCTAACGCTATGCTCTGTTCAGTGGATCTGTCATCACACTGAGGGAATTTAAGTGGCAATTGACTCTGATGGAGGAAATGTAACCTTGTTGTTGCAACCCTCTTACAAAAAGTCAATATTTTCATTTCATCTGAGGCCCTTTGCCGGAGCAGCTCAGAAATAGCATTCTGTGTCTTCACAAACAATTTGCACTGGTGCAAAATGAAGCATGAAGTCGAGTCCTACACTGCAAGTCTGCTAGGTATTGGCACAAATGAGGGTGTGCCCTTTTGTGATTTCACAAATTTAAGCATCTTTTTGACATTTGTTTTAGTTAGCCAGCAGTTTATAAGGTGGATTACATGTGTCTTGTTCTATATTAGTCCTAGATAATCTCACTGCATTGCACATAGCACTGCAACAAATTATTGTTTCTATTAATTTCATTATCTCCACAAGGCTAAAGTATCGGTCTGTCTGCAGCCAATCGCACATATTACTGGACCAATCAGCCTAATACTTCGTGTGCACATTTATAACTGTGCTCAAAGACCTCTCGTGGTTGCGGTCATTCACAATTGTCGAAAAAAAAAAAAAATTTTATTGACCGTTTATACTGTCACTGACTGCTGTCAATCACTGCTCAGTCCTCTTAATCGGCAAGTGATCAACAAAATCATGTACCAAAAGCACAGGACAAAAGGCATCGCCGACAATTGGCTCGACTGGAAACAGCAAGCCTTACCTTGTTTGTTGCAGGCCATATTCTGGCCTTTGTCATGGCCCAAACACTGACATCCATAGAAAAGTTTGGTCACATTTTGAACCGGAGCAACTGTAGCTGAATTCCATATTCAAAATCAGGCACAATACGAAATAAATAAGTCTTTGTTTTTGTTATCTTCGCCGGGGACTTAACTGTAACGGACCTAGGAGGTACAGTTTCACCTGGCGCAGTTGCGCTGCCTGCATTTTCTTTGTAGTTTCATTACTATTTTTGAATTATTAAGACATTAATCATTTAGTTTAATGATCAGAAAATAGAAAAGAAAAAAGATAAAACAAAAAACAAAAGAAACACCATTACAACTTACTCAAGGTGAGCTCCTTAAATTACTTGTGTTGATAGAAAAGAAGTCCAAAAAAACATAAACATTCAATTTACAGTGATATAAACCACATATACACATGTATAGATGGCATTCATCCAGTCAGATCACTTGGCCATCTGCAATTCCCTGTTTTCTTTAGTGTAAAGGATCAATACCTCTGTCACATCACAAATATTTTTTACACCATAAATGTAAGTGCCCTGATCACACCATGAAAGTGCCACAAAACTCAGTGAAAACAGGTGGTGCTAGAAGATGGTAACACTGTGACTTTATTCAGGAAGTGTTACAGAGCTCAAGCTTCTATGGACTGCAGCTGGTCAACAGTGCAAATGTGTCAAAGTCCATAAAAAGAACTTTTCACAAAAGCACTGTACTAATGTACTTCACCACTTTCACTGATTGTAATGGTTTTTATTGAAATTTCTAGGACTCTAAGATCCTGACTCAGTGACAGACTTAGACATTGATGTGTGTTAAAAATGCTGGTATGATAAAACCATTAATACCAATCATCCTTCAACTGCTGGAGTAATGGCACATTTCCACTGCATGGTACAGCATGGCTCTACTCAGCACCACTCGTTCTTTTTCCCTTTAGAAAAGTTGTGGGTAGTACCTGGTACTTCTTTGGTACAAACTCAGTCGAGGTTCCAAGCAGGCTGAGCAAATACTAAAGGGTGGAGTAGAAACACTGCAGACCACTGACTGGTTAGAGAAAACTGTCGTGACACAAGACATCCTGCACAAACCTGATATGTTTGAATAGCCATGCTGCCGTCTATAGCCACAGTAGATTTTTAAATCACTCGACCCAGGTTTTAATAATAAAGGCAGCCAACAAAACTACGCCACAAAATTGACGAAGTACAGACATGCCTCTATTTGGTTGCAGAGGAAAGGATTCAGCGCATGTCATGTTGAGGATGATGTCACGGCAGTTTCATGTGGCGTCACTATGGTGACCCCCGCAATGGAAAACAAAACAGAGAAAAGAACCTCGTACCAAAAGTGAGTTGTGCAAGTTGAGCCGAACCATGCAGTGGAAATGAGGCATAAGACCTGCAGAGCTGAATCCCATGCAACATCAATTGTGTCAGTTATGAGTAGGGTTGTCACGATACTAAAATTTCAAACTCGATATTGATACCCAGGAAAATATTCAATACTCGATACCATTTTCGATACAGCAGCAAAAAATTAAGAGGCATGTCATTTTTTAAATAAAGATCAGAACAGTAACATCAATGATAACAACAAAAAATCCCCCCAAAATAAATAACAACCAGAAACAAGATCTGTCCATACAAATGTATTTATCTACAGCCCTGTTTATTTTCTGTGCTTCTGGTGAATTGGCACCATATTTTCGTTGCTGATCAAATAGAGTTGGTAGTTTAGGCTCAGGATGCTCCTGTTTCTACCTCACTATGTGATCAGAGAACCAGGGGTTACGGGAGAAACCAAACGTTTTTTCAGCTTCAATCTGTGACTTTGCAGTTAACATAACTTTTCAGACACACATAATTGTGTTGTCCTGTTAAACTGACATTGTCTATTAATGTTACAGACGGGCATGACTGATAAAGTTTTCTGCTTAGCTCCCACATTAACATTAGAAGTTATATTTTAGTTTGATGCTGGCGACACCAGCTGCTCAGCTGCTAGTGAGAGGAGGGGCTGTACCTGCCGTCTGCAGCGTGCTGTGTTCACTTCACTAAATATTTCCAAAGAGCACTTTTTCCTTTATCATTTTTGACCAAAACTGGCTGCTCTGATCCTCCTGCAGCCACGCTGGCCATATTACAGCAACAGAAATGTGTGCATGCATGCACAGCAACAACAAGAAGCCGGGTTGCAGCGAGGGCTCTGTGCCTGCCCGGCGCTGCCTGCACAGCGCATGTCCGTCGGACCCGTCGCACGCACCCGACAGGCGCTGAGGCTGGCGTGCACTGTCAGTATCGATACTTTTGTAAATTAGTATTGTATCCGGATACAGCGTTTGAGTATCGATACGTTTCAGAGTATCGATACTTTTGACAACCCTAGTTATGAGTATCTCTTTCTCTAGCGCCACCTGCCTTCTTGTGAGCCAATAAATGTACTGTTTCTTGTACCTGTGCATCCACGAGGAGATGCCTCATCAGGGTCATGGACTTCTGCAGTGTCTCCTTCTCGGGAGGAGGAAAGACAGGCTGTTCCGGCTCCAGGGTCTTGGGCCCAGTCACCATGAAGTTCGCAATCTGGTCATTCAGGCTGTTCAGGGACTGCACAGCTAGAGGGAGACCCAAAAATAAAAGTCAGTTATCATAACATCCATTTGTTATATTTGAACTTTGATTGGAGGTGATTTAAATATCACTCATCAATCTGGTGAATTTAAGCCGTATTACAAAAGATGATAAAACTGTATAAATGTAAATTACAGTATGTATTTATATGTCCACTCTATCAGAGTGCGGGCAGGCTTTAGTAGATCATAAAATACTTTCAATACCAAAGTGCCATTACACAGACACACTCACATATTTCTTCTTCCTTTGTGGATGTATTGCTAGCCTTTTTTCTGAGCAGGAACAACAGAGATAACACAGTGGAAGAGCACAGCTTCCTACTGTCACACTGTCACTGACTTTCTCTGTCAACGCCCTCTCTGGTCCAGAATGTTCCATGTCAGCCTGAGAGCCATCCTGTTTTTGTTTCCCTGTTCTTGCCCTTGTGTGTCCCTGGCAAACCTCTCCCTTCAGGTTTCCTCTCCAGCTAGGCTTCCACATTAAAAAATAGCTGGCCCTACTGTATTTCCTCCTTCTCGCACACATACACCCACAGAGACTTCCTCAACCCTCTCCCATTTACCATTAATCCCCTCTAGTCTTTGAAAGGTCACCTCAACTATTTCCGAGGCCACACACATGGTGGAAATGTTGGATAAATGAAAGAGTGGGAGAAAAAGCAATTTCCATATTTTTGTGCCTTTTTAGCACAAGTATCTCTTGTATTTTTCATGAGCTGATTCACCAACCCCTAATGTCTCATTATCCATCTTTCCAGCATTTAAACTTTGCTAAAACCTCAAACTTACAGCTTTGTCAGTTATAAAGGGAGACAGAGAAGCAGTGATCAAGGATTGACCTTCTGTCCAGAGGTCATCTGATACAGACTCTGAACCATTAAATCTCTTGTGTTCTGCTGGAATCATGCACTGGCACATTTCTGCCAAATTAAGAAATCCAACCTGCTAAATCCATACAGAGTAGGATGATTTTAGGCCAAGAATCTGGATAGGGTCTTTTCAGGATGCAAATATAAAGCCTCTTTCACACACAAAAGCCCACGCACAAAAAAAAAAAAAAAGAGCAAAAGCATAGATTAATGTGTTACATAACCAAAAAATTCTTTCACCGTGGCTGACATTTCCAAGCAAACAAGCTTTGAGTAGGAAATTTGACAAGTCCGCACTGAAGGCAGCAGGAGATAAGAAGGGAAAGAGGGGGCTGGAGAGGAAGACTGTGTCCCCTCGAGGTGAGAGTGGAGCAGACGTCGGATGTTTGAATACGTGAGGGGGCTGGTTGTCGCCTGAGTTCACAGACACTCCAGCCAGATCACCTTTCTAAACAGTCATAACACATAATAGACCACAGTAAGCTGGTGAGTGTTCTTACACATTTCTACAGTTTATATCCAATTGAGGTTTATTCAAAAGGCAAAAGGCCACATTTTCTTTTCCTGCTACTTTCAGTGTAGTCTTTACTTAAGTGGCAACCACACGTGTGCACATAAGCAATTATGTATAAAACCTCTTCCTTCCTTCAGTGGAGCTTTGGCAGATGTGATTTCAGCTGCTTACTCTTAGTGCCCTCTGCTGGCCAATAAATGAACATGCAAGCATTTGTGACTCAAAACCTGTAATACTGATCAGTTTCCTGTTGATATCCTGAGAACACAAACACTGAAGAAGTGAGCCAGCACAGCTTTGACACTTTGAGACATTTGATGTCAAACACAAAGAAGCATTGCAGAGACAATGTCATGATGTAAATTTGGCTCCGGTTGTGCAATGTAGTGCAAGCAGGTAAGACTGGTGAAACACTGCTATGTGCTTCAGATTATTTTTTTAAGAGCTCATTCAGCCGTCTGCACTCTAGAAAAAACCCAGAGGCAGCATGCTAGACAGTTTGTGGTAAATTCACAGATTTACGTCAAAGTAAGGCTTTGATGTTTGAAGAAAAAAAATCACTCAGTAACCACTTTTAAGGTACACTTATAGATACAACAGCATAGCCATATTGTCTTTACAATAATGTTAAGTTTTGATTGACATTGTCAGAGACATGTTAATTTCAATATGTTTATTATTGATGTTATACTTCATTAGTTTCAGTTACAAGTACCTTCAAAACTAGCAACTGAGGGTAGTTTGCAGTGTTGTTGTACTGGATGGCATCAAATTAAAATGTGCTATATTTCCCTCCTCAAGTTTGGAAATAGAGTGGGGGGAAACATTAGAAACACCTCCATTAGACCTGAAACAAGTCACCTATTTATTTAATATATGTAATAATTTCCCTCCCCTTTGCAGCAACAGTTTTTGCCTAGGAGGCATGATGTTTGGCGTGGAGGTTGCAGCTATTGTGAATTCCCACTTGTTTAAAGATACCATAATTTCCCCTCATTTCTGAAATGTTAATATTTGCTTGTATGACCATAAATTTAACATTCTGGGGGTCTGTATCTCTGGCCGAGCAAAATAAGCATTGTGAAGACGTCACCTTGGGCTTTTCGAATATGTGACATTTTTCTCTGTTTTCTGAAAATTTATTGACCAACAACATATCAATTACTCAAGAAAAAAAATCTCAATATGAATCAATTTAATTTAACACCACTGCAAAATACAAAAGCCATAATTTACACCTCTCTGACACTGTCAATCAAAAATAAACATCATTGTCATTGTAAAGGTAGACTTTATGGCTGAGCTGTTGTATTGAATCACACTAGATCTTACAGAAGTACCTAAAAAAGGAGCCACTGAGAGCATGACATAAATTAGAATATAAGTTACAGTGTGATCATGTTATCTATTCATTTACTGCAGGGGAAATCAAAAGGCTTCACTGTAGTTAGGGCAGGGCAATAATGAAGAAAATCAAATATCATAATATTTTTAATGAAATACCTCAATATTAATGTCGCAGCAATATTGTAGGGATGACTTATTGGTGTCTTTACAAAATATTTACACAATAAGATTTTGATAAATAATCATCCACAGACTGTATATTAAAGATGTATGACATGACAGCTCCCCAAAAGTGAAGCCAAAACATCTCGAACGCCCCCCTGGTGGCTGGCTGCAGTGCAGGTCATGGAACCTCCACCTCCATGTTAGTGAATGGGACATGGGTCAAACTAAAAATGGTTTCTGTCCTTTTAGGTTGTTCTTATCATGCTGCTGCATATTCAAGCGCTTGTTTTTTCTGATAAGTTTGGTTTTAATTAGTTATTTGACGCTATGACAAAAAATATCACAATATCAATATAATATTGACACTGCCCAACTCTTAATGTAGTATATCATGTAGTATGATATCATACTACTAATGTAGTATGATGATAACATTTTAAAACCTGAAACACTTAACAAATTGCCACTATAGTGTAAACATTACAACAATTTCCCACAACGATAGCCAGTGTGTGACTGAGTAACTGAGTGCATTGTTTTTTTCCACTGATTTTAAGTTTCCAGTTTTAATTAGTATACTGACTGTTTAAAACACGCCTGTTCAGAATGGGCTGCTTGCGTGGCCTTCAGTACAGCTTTCTCAAGAACTGTTCATCCAAACAGTGCCACTCTCAACATTGAGCTTTCTGGGATCCAAAGCAATGCACCGGCCATGACAGTTATGTCCCCTAAACATGCAAGGGTAGCACAAACATTTTATGGCCTCAGTGAAGTTAAAGCCCAACTATTCCCAGGAACAAAAGTTCACGGTTAAAGTTACATCGCTGATGCTTGAAATGTTTGAATTTGCTACAATGCAACACATCTAGTCTCTCTTTCTTTATCTGTCCTTGAATGTACTGTAGCAAGCGATGGAAAGCCAGCTGTATGCCATTTGATAATCTATTCATACATTCTTTGTAGGGGGGGCTAGAGCTGAAATTGGGCAATAGGCCAATGTCATTATGGAAGGATCACCGGACTATCACAGGGCTGAGACATAGAGACAACCCTTTACACTCACTTTCACACTGAAGCATAAACATCATTGATAAAATTAAAATTCATAGCCATTGATTATGAAAGCTACACTATGCACTGAAATCAATGTAGATATTTTGCTGCGTAAAATGGGTTACGGACACACACTCACACATACACAGTAACCTTTACCCTGTATATTCAATATCAAATATTGATTCTCCAGTCGTCAATACTGTAATCATTAAGCCTGTAAAGCAACAAGGTACAATTTAATGGTTTGGAAGCATCACGCATCATTTCACAGACAAACTATTAACCAACACACAATCAATACGTTTCTTTAAAGGTGTTGTTTCCTCTGTGTGTCTCAACAATCTTCATCTGCAAACTGAAATAGATTTCCCCTACAGCTTGCCTTCAGCAAATCTCAAAGCCGATGAAAGAGAGGCAGAGGTGGGAAGGAAACAGAAAGCAACAATTGCAGTGGTTAGGTTACAATGGATGCAAAGAAAAGAAAATTGTCATTCTCGCTCAGCCCTTGCGCTTATCCTGTCTCCCTTCTACTTTCTGTCATCTCTCTTCTTTCTTTCCGTGTCTTGCCAGCATAGACAAATCTCAAAGTGCCTTACATGTCCTCCTATAGAGCGGGAACAGCACAACAAGTGAGGAGGAGAGGCCACGGTGGCACCCCGTCAGGCCTTTATCTGTTCAGGAGGGAGAACTCTGGGTGCCAGGGGAAATAAGATCACTACCGATGAAAAATGTTTGAAAGAATGCATGCAGCAAACCTAATAGGATAAGGTGCAGCAGTCAGGCTAAAGTCGAGATAAAAGGGGCTTATTTCATGGGAATTGTTCGCAGCACACATGAAATCTTGGAGAAATGTTGAGAAATATGGAGAGTGATGAGCCAAAAATCCATTTCCGGGGTTTCTGATGTCAGACTTACATTTGCTGCTGTGCACTGAGCTGTACAAGGTCAAATTCACCCCAAGTCCTTCATTTTGGTGTGAAGTATTGGAAAACTTCATTTAACATTGCACACAAAGTGTAGGCAGTGTGTGA